ATCCTCATCATCATTATCGTCATGATCATCATCATCATCATCACCAACATCACGACCATCATCACCACCAGCACTATCATCATCATCACCAGCAACATCATCATCATCATCATCATCATCATCATCATCAACATCCAATTCGCCACCGTCATCGTAATCGCCATCATCATCACCAGTACGGCCGTCATCATCACCATCATCGTCATCGTTCCCCGCCCATTTTTGCACGCCCTCGCAGGGTTCGTGGCCCCATAGAAAGCTCCACCGAATGCCCCACCGGCAAGGCTCGCATGCAATTCCACCCTCTTTATGGCGCACCCCTCAAACGGTTCGTGGCCCCGTACTAGGGCCTAGGGAGCTCCAACGAAGGCCCCACCGGCAGGATTCGCATGCAATTCCACACTCTTTTTGGCACACCCCTCAAACGGCTCGTGGCCCCATAGGGGGCTCCACTGAGGGCCCCACCGGCAGGATTCGCACGCAATTCCACCCTCTTTTCGGCGCACCCCTCAAACGGCTCGAGGCCCCATAAGGCCTAGGGAGCCCCACCGAAAGCCTAACCGGCAGGATTCGCATGCACATCCACCCTCATCCCCGCGCACCCGTCAGCCGGCTCGTGGCCCCATAGGGAGCTCCACTGAAGGCCTCACCGGCAGGATTCGCATACAGTTCCACCCTCATTTCGGCGCACCCCTCACCCGGCTCGTGGCCCCATAAAGAACTCCACCGAAGGCCACAAACACAAGGTTCGCACGCAGTTCCACCTTCATTTCGGCGCACCCCTCACACGGTTCGTGGCCCCAGAAAGGGGGCTCCACCGAAGGCCACAACGGCAGGGTTCGCATGCAGTTCCAGCCTCATTTCGGCGCACCGTTCACACGGTTCACGCACGCACACAGAACCGCGCCTGGACGGCGCATCGGCAGGAGAACTGGCTACGTGAAACACATGTGCATGAGAACGGGGTTCGTGCAGACGCTCCCCTGCAGTGCCTCGGACGCGTACGCTGGAATTCTCTGCCCCAGCAAAGCGCAAAGGTATGCTACAGTGCGCCGGAGGAAGAGGAGGAGGAGGAGGAGGAGGAGGAGGAGGAGGAGGAGGAGGAGGGGTGGACTGAGTGATACAAACATGCCCCAGATTCGTATCATCTGGGCCCCGGATTCGTATCACTATGAAAAGCAGTATGTCTACAACAGCTGCGTTCCATTGCCCCGACGTCCCACGCAATAGAGCTTGCAATTTGTCGGGGTCGTTTCCTTCCACAACCAGGGCTTGAGCGTGCATGTAGGCGTTCCACTGTAAACGAGGGCGCCCTCTGAGGCGCGGCGTGCCCCAGTTACTGGGCAGAATACGGTGGTCTTGTCCAGTTTGAAACACCATTGCTCTGGGCAGGCTGCCGGGTCCCATTGCCAGCTTACCACAAAAATTCATTTGGCGCTGAAATAAACAAACTGACAATGGGCACGCTTCCGCTGCCGCCCGCACATCAGCGTTGCTGACGCGAGACAGGAAAGCTGGCGCTATTTTGAAAATCTGTCGCAAGCATTTTGCTTGGAAGCGGTCAAGTCGATCCCGGTCCGCCTTCAGTAACATGCAAGATTCCAGCCCATATAATAATTAAGTATACACGCAAGCTTGCAGCACCCCCAATTTGTGCCGTCGGTTCGTGGCCCCATAAAGGGGGCTCCACCGAAGGCCACGGCGGCAGGGTTCGCTTGCACTTCCACCCTCATGTCGGCGCACCCCTCACACGGTCTGTGGCCCCATAGGGAGCTCCACCGAAGACCTCAGTGGCAGGGTTCGCATGCAGTTCCATCCTCATGTCGGCGCACCTCTCACACGGTTCGTGGCCCCATAGGGAGCTCCACCGAAGGCCACATTGGCAGGGTTCACATGCAGTTCTACCATCAGTTCGGCGCACACCTCACAGGGTTCGTGGCCCCATAGGGAGCTCCACCGAAGACGATACTCACAACTGCGGCACTCACAATTGGGTCCTTCGCCAGGCTATGTTTCTGTTGTGTTTCTCTCTCTCTCTCTCTTTCTCTCTCTCTCTCTCTCTCTGTATAGACCGCCGCGACAATAGTTCGGCCCATGTATCTGGCGACGGCGAATCAAGGCGAGGTCGCAAGACTGGCGATGCCCCCCCTCCCCCGTAGACTCCTACATCAAGACAACAAAGCGCCGCGGTGTCGCAGCCGCAGCAGAAGAAAACACATCTCCCACTAATATTAATTATCAATGACTGTTTATTCCTGGGGGTCATTCTTCCGCCTGTTCTTTGACGCATGGGAAATGCTTCCGCGCTAGCGCGAGGGAACTCCACTGGGACAGGCAAATGGGCCTAAACTTTCGTCCCGCCGGAGCATCCCCTGGAGCCTCAGCGACACCACAGTGAGGGGCCTGGAATTAGGTCGGGCTTGTCCCCCTGCAGGGGGATGTTGGGCGAAAAATGCAAAAACACCCAAACGATGCTCAAAAGATGCCCAAACATACCTAAAACATAATCCCAAACTATTGTTTGACTATTTTTGAATAATTCCCCCTGTAGAGGGACAGGCCCGACTTAAAGCCACACTGTGGGGGGGGGGGCCTGGCTCCAGAACCTCCCAGCGTCTTGTCGCGCGCCTCGCTCGGGACTCTGGAGAGGGCCACGGCGACTGGCCAGGAGGTCCCCCGAGAAGCTCCCAGGACGGCCGCGGAGGGCCCCGAGTGGCCCAAAAGATCGCTCCGAGGCGCCCAAGACCGTCTCAAGACTGCCCCAATTGCCCACAAGACGCCCCCCAGAGGTCTCCAGGAGGCCTCCCAAGAGGGACCCCCAGAGGCAGCAGTCGTTGATCTCCTGGCGTTTTTGTTGACGGACGTGGGACTTCTCGACGCTTCGGCGTCCCGACGGTCCCAGACGGCTGAAGAGGCTCCCAAGATCGCTCCAAGACGAGAGGCTTCCAAGACAGCTCCAAGAGTGCACCCAGACGGGGGGCCCGAGCGGACATGTCGAGCCCTCGGCCCTGAGAAGCCCCCAGGAGGCCCGAAGAGGCCCCCAAGAAGCTCCCAAGAGGCCCCAAGAAGCCCCCAAGAGGCCGCCAGGAGGCCCCAAGAGGCCCCCAAGAGGCTCCCAAGAGGCCCCCAAGAGGCCGCCAAGGGGCCCAAAAATTGTCCCCAAGAGTCTCCCAACCAACAACTTTCCCCCAAGAGGCCCCCGAGTGTGCTCCGAAGAGGACCCCAGAAGCATCCCCGAGGACTCTGACCCACAATCCAGGCACTGTGGCGGGATGGGCCGAAGGCCATTCTATAAACATGATCTCCTGGCAGATACACCGATCCCTTGCCCAGGATAGGCCTGGCCAGGATCGGTGTAGGTGCAGAGTTGGCGTCCTCCAAGGGAGGGCAGTTGAGAGGAACATAGAAGAGGCAGGATGAACGGGACGAAGAGCCGCCTGCACCGCTCACGGGAGCCCCCGGAAACAGCACAGCACACCCCACCCTACCTGCGCCGATCTCCCTGGAAGTCCTCGGAGGCACTGCTTCTCCACCTCCTCCTCCTCCTCCTCCTCCTCCTCCTCCTCCTCCTCCTCCTCCCCCTCCTCCCCCTCCCCCTCCTCCTCCCCCTCCTCCTCCTCCTCCCCCTCCGCCTCCTCACCGAGGTGGAGCGAAGGGGGGAGGACGGGCTCCGGGAGGGGCGCATCGATCTTGGGATCGGCGACACGCCGCCGACAGAGCGGCGGTGTGCCTCAGATAGCAAGACCGCACGGCCCTGGTAGCGCTGGACCATCGGGCCCATGTCGGCGGGCACTGGGATCGGTGCATCCCCCCCCTTGCGCTTATTTTCCGCCCATAGCGGGCCCCTGGTCCTTACCCCTGCGCCACCTCCACGATGACGCTGCATGAGCACTGCGCTACTCTCCTCTCTCCTGACGACGTCCGGAAACTATCCGCCCTCCGGCCGCGTAAAGAAAACGTTTCCTGGGACATGAAGCTTCGCTCGGTTGTTTCAAAATGTTGCTCCAGCTGGAGCGCTGGCCCCATTTCTGCGCCTCGGGTTGTTCCACATCTGCGTGTTCGGTCCTTCCAAGTAGGCTCCAAACTTTGAGAAATGCCCGCCGGGAAAACCATCGGAAGTGATTCCACACTCAGTACCGATTCGTTGAATTTGTCGGCCGCAGAAGCCCCCCGTGTCGTCGTCTTCAGGAAATATCAAGCGGGAGCCCCGCTTCTGCTTTGGGAAGGCGATGTTGGAAGCATGACCAGCGGGTGCTCTCCATCGGCCCCGCCATGTGTGGGGCTTTTCGGGGAGCCCGAGGAGTTAGACATGGAGCCACGACTCCAGACCGGCCCAGACCTCTCGAAAACGATCCACTAACCCTCAAAAGGACCCGGCGCCGGGGCCGTGACATGCTGTGCGGTGATGCGTTCTGCGCCGCTGTGCGATGCCATGCTTTGCGTTGCAATGCTTTGTGATGTAATGCTTCACTGCGCAATGCCACGCCATGCTATGGCATGCTACGCTATGCCGTGCTCTTCTACGCGTACCCTCTCGCGATCATTGCCCTGCTCGACATCCGCCTGTGCGAATAGAGGGTAAGGGACGGGAGGGAGGGGTAGGACGTCAGATATGACGCGAGCGCACATAGCTTATCCTCCTCCCCGTCTCCCTCCCCTTCTTCTTCATCCTCCTCCGCCTCCTCATCCTCCTCCTCCCGCTCCTCCTTCTGCCTGCTCCTCCCCTACTCGCGCGCGCGGGAGCGGTCGAAGAGGGGAAGGAGGAGGGTGTGCGCAGGTGCACGCGCGCGGAGGTGGGAGGAAGAGGGAGAAAAAGAGAGGAGGGAGAAGGAGGAAGGAAAGAGGAGGATGACGAGGAGGACAACTGAACACTCGATCTCCCCTCCCTCTCCCTCCCCCTCCCCCCCCTCCTCCTCCTCCTCCTCCTCCTCCTCCTCCTCCTCCTCCTCCTCCCTCCTCCTCCCCCTCCTCCTCCTCCCTGCCCCCCAGCGGCCGGTCACGGCGGCGCCCATGGCCCGCCACGCGTCGCGCACGCAGTGGATGTTGTCTATGCCCCCGAAGACCAGCTTGCACCGCGGGTACCCCTCGAAGCCGCCGCCGCCGGCCTGGCGGGGCTCCCGGGCTCGGGGGATCGAAGCTCCGGGCTCGAGGGGCTCGAGGGGCTCGAGGCCCGAGGGTCGAGGCCCGGGGCTCGAGCCTCCTCCTCCTCCTCCTCCTCCTCCTCCTCCTCCTCCTCCTCCTCCTCCAGGCGATCTCGAAGCGATCTAGGCGATCGAGGCTCGAGGTTCGAGGCTCGAGGCCCGAGGCTCGAAGCTCGAGGCTAAGACGTCACTCCGCTGGGCACCCCTGCAGCCCTGGAGAGTGGCGACGGCTTCGCAGATCGCAGCCCCCCAGAGATGGCCAGGTAGGAGGCCAGCTGGCACGCCGGAAGGAGCGGGGCGAGAGGCAGAAGCGAAGAGGAAGGAGGCGGGAAGCAAGGAAGGCGGGAGGCGTGCGACCGCAGCGCTCTCATCAGATCGAAGCAGGAGGGTTGGGCAAAATCAGATCGTCGGATATCCAGAAATAGAAGAAGACAAAAACGGCATAAACATAAACTTTGGGCGGTTTCTTATTCTTCTGCTTCTTCGAAGAAGAAAAAGAAAGGAAGAAGAGAGGAACCTCAGAGCCGTGGCGTCGACGACTGAGGTGGAGGAGCGCGAGGAGGAGGAGGAGGAGGGGGAGGAGGACGAGGAGGAGGAGAAGGAAGAGGAGGAGGAGGAGAAGGAGGAGGAGCAGAAGGAGGACGAGAAGGAGGAGGCGGAAGAGGAGGAGGAGGAGGAGGAGGAGGAGGAGGAGAAGAGAGAGGGGGGGGGGGGCAGGAGAGGAGGAGAGAGAGCAGGAGGAGGAGGAAGTGGAAAGGAGGAGAGGGAGGGAGGAGGGAGAGGATGATGATGAGGAGGACGAAGAGGAGGAGGGGGAGGAGGAGGACGAGGAGGAGGAAGAGAAGGAGGAGGAGGGAGGAGCCTCAGGGCCGGGGCGCCGGCGCCTTGTTGGCCCAGGCGCTCTTCCAGGGCCGCAGGTCCATCACGAGCAGGTCGCGCTCGTGCCCCACGTCGCTGCCCCTGCGGATGAACTCCACGAGCCTCTGGTCCTGGCGTCGCGGGCGGAGAGTGACAAACAAAAGGTGGGGAAACGACCTTTCCTCCTCCTCCTCCTCCTCCTCCTCCTCCTCCTTCCTCCCTCCTCCTCCCTCCTCCTCCCTCCTCCTTCTTCCCCCTCCTCCCTCCTCCTTCCTCCCTCCTCCCTCCTCCTTCCTCCTTCTTCCTCCTCCTCTTCCTCCTTCCTCCTCCACCTCCTCCTGTCATTCTTCTCCTCCTCACTCCCCCACACTTTGGTCGCCAGGAGCGACGTCCGCTCGAGCACTGCGAGGGGCGAGCACGTCCGGGAGGCCTTTCTGGGTGCCACCCCCCGAAGCCAGCAGGTGGGACCCTCGAGGAAGACCGTTCGTCAGGGGCCGCTCTCTGACGGTGCCGAAATCAATGGAAACACACTGGGATGGGCACAGATCAATCCGCTGGCTGCCTGGGCCTCAAGGACGATGCGGGTAAAACCTGATGGGTTCGCACGCTCAGCATCGGTTCCGTCAGCTGCGCAAGTGCGAGTAAATGTTGAGATATCACGCGCCGGGCGCACGCTGGAAGAGTGGCTAACTGGGGATCGAACAATTCTACATGTCCCCGTCCTTCCGCCTCCCTCCCGCTGTCATGTTCTGTTTGTCCCCCCCCGCTGTATAAGGGAGAAAACAGGGGGAAGAACGACGTGGATTTGAGGAGGGACCGACCGCCCCAGAATAGTTCTAAGAACACTCCGTTGAGAACACAAAAGGCTCTTGGAACATCATTTGGTGTGCCTATAGGCAAGCCAGGACGCTTCGCCACTGCATGATGGATCTGTAGAGCTGTCGTCATCCGAAACTGGCTGGGAGAGAAAATTGCTTCGCGTGGGAATGATTCGCGCTCGGCTCATTGGCGCGGGCGTTCCGTCTCCAATGTTCAGTCGGGCGCGTCCCTCTACAGAAGGAATATTCAAAAATAGATAAACATAGTCTAGGGACGATTTTCGACTATTTCTCGACCAGCTGCTGGCATTTTTTACTATTTCGGATTTGTCCCCCAAAATTCGAATGTAGGAGGACATACCCGACCTAATCCCAATGTCAACGCACTACCTACACACACGATCGGAGATACCGGTGGGCTGCCACAAGCAAATCTCATCCATTTTTTTACGCACGCAAAACGCTCCTTTGCACTTGGGAACTGTCCCATGTGCACCCGGTGAACTGCCGGGAAGTAACTGACATCCCGAGGGGGCGTTCGATCGCCAAAAATTGCAGCCATGGCTGACAGTACCCTCCTCATGTAACGAACAACTGCTTTCGAAGACGCATGGCAATGAAGACCAAACACACGGGTAACCGCAACATAGCGCGCACCTGAAAAGGTTATTGAGCGTTTAAACAACAATGCTATGTGCCTTGGGAGCCTTGCTGGCACACCCCTTGCTTCCACGCACTGCATCTACAGGTTCAAGCTTCTGAATCAAGTCTAGTGGATTCGTCGCAGCAGCCTCATGTGATTGCACAGAATACGTTCACAAAGCTTGCCCAAGTGCGTTCAAGCCTCCGACTTCCTGAAATTGTCTCCACAATGTCCTCATGTTTGGTTTTCCGCAACGGTGGACTGTGCCGAAAACTTGTGCGTCCCACAAACACACGAAACGATCAACTGTGGGTCATCCCGCTAATCTCTCTCTCGTAGTAGACATTTACCTATGACGCCCTTCCTCTAAAGAGGACTCTGTCGTTCCTCACGTGTCTTGTGAACAGCTGCACACAAAATGATTATCTCCTCGCCGGCGATGATATCGCGAAGTGCTCGGACGACAACCTGTGATTTTGATGTCTGCCAATGCGATGGCACAGCAAGCGTGGTTGAAACGAGAAGCTGCAACAAACAAGGCGAGGCTTCAGGAATCGCGTATTGTTTCGAGCATGTTACTCTCAAGATTGAGAAATCCTACGGCACGGCGCCTCGGCAATGGGCGCACGAATTCTCTGTTTTAGGGGTCGGCGACGCATCTCTTTGAGTCGTCGAGGAGGCGGAAGGGGGGAGGAAGAGGAGGAGAAAAAACAGTCAAAAAAAACAGCTCGGGAAACGGGGCCGTCCAGGACCACCCAGCGTGGGGTGGGGGGAGCGTGCGCTCTCGGAGCCGCGTGGGGGGGTCGCAGCTGGGGGCAACACGCAAAAACAGGCGTCCATATCCACAGACTCCGAAGGCCTCCCGAATGGGGTCCCATCAGATCGGCTCGAGGGATCACGCCGCATCCCCGACGCATCCCCGATGCATCGCCGATTCGCTTGTGTGACGTCGGCGAGTAGAGAATCGGGCTCCACATCCTGCCGCACCGACGAGGCGCCGGCGATGCGGCGCGATCCGCCGACCGCCTCGACTCTTAGGTCGGGCATGCTCTCCGACCAGCGGATTTTTGATGGAAAATGAGAAATCGTGGAGAAATACTTCAGAATGGTGCACTTTTTTTTTACCAGCCGAAGAGGGGTGCGCCCCGTGGCGACCTAAGGGGAAAGGGGGGAAAGCAAAGGGGAAAGAGAAGGGGGGACGAGAAAGCAGCAGCAGCAGCAGCGAGCAGCCTAGGCGCGGCCAAGCCCGCCCCCCAGCGCGCCCCGGCTTGCGGGGCGCGCGCGCCCCCCGCGCGGCCGGAGCACCGACGCCGCGCGGCCGCCTCCAGCTAGAGGGCGCGTGCCGCCTCGCCGAAGGCGAGCAGCGCCGCCGGTCCAAGGGCGGCCGGGTCTTCCGCGGCCGCGCCCGGTGCACGCCTCCGTTCCGCCCTTGCGCCGCCGCCTGGTGCGCCGCCGGGATGGACCCACACCCACAGCTTCGGAAGCGTGCCCGTGGACCTCGGGGAGTGGTGGACGCGGGCGTTGAGCAGGGCTGGGGGGTCAGGTCTGCAGAGCACCCCAAACGGACGTCAAGGGGCGCAATCAACCTGTTCGGTCAAGCTGAAGTTCATGCACTACGCCTGGCGTCAAGACAAAACTTTGGACATACGCGAACGGTAGGACTTTGCACATCGTCGTCGGCTTAACCGACGAGGCGTTTGACCACCTTGACGTCCCTTTTCGGGTGGTCCTTCAGAGGAAGGCGCACTCTGACCCTCGGCCCTGCTCAAGACATGGGCACGTGCCCGCCCCTGAAGGCGGGAGAGCATCCATGTCCACCACTCTAGGCACGACGCCGACGCGGTGGATGTGGACGTCTCCTGGCGGTGGACCTGGAGCTCCACAGCCTGCGCATGTCAGCGTGGCAGGCTGTCCCCCCCGCGGTGCTCCGCGCCGCGTGCTCAGCAGCCTGCGGTGCGCGGGTTGGCCGTCCGCGACGAGGCCCGATTTGAGGGCCGTCGGCGAAGGGCGTCGCCCTCCGCCCCCCCCCAGCGCGGACTGTGGAACTCGCCAGGCCGGACGCACGGGACAGCGGAAACGGAGGCGTTGGCCAACCAGTCCACGTGATCACGTCAGGGTCGTGTCGTGCCGACTTCGGCGTTGCTTTCTGACACCGCGGAGATCGTTCCACCTGGAACGATCGGCCGTTTCCGAAACATCCACATCGTTCACGTCGAACAATTCCGTGAGGGGGAACTGGGACACACAAATTCGCCGGCCCAACGGGCCAGAGGCGTGCTAAGATCTCCGGTAACTTGTTAACAATATTTCTAGTTCGCGCGCGCGGAGCGGCCCCTGGGGGCCCCCGGACGAAAAGTACCCCGGCAAGGTCCCGAGAGAAGCCCGGGAGAAGCCACCAGACCACTCCAGGGGAGGGTATTTTTCGACACCCCTCACGAGGATCGTGGCCTCCGAGGGGGGAGCCGCAATCGACTACCCCCAAGAGCCCCCCAAGAGGCCCTGGGGGCCTCCAAGAGGCCCTAAAGAGGGCTCCAGGGCCGGCGGCATGAGCGAAGCGATTAAATAAATAGACACAAATAACCAGATTCCCCATATGTTCCAATATGGCCCTATATTTCCCCACATTTTCTGGGTGTCTGTCTTCCGCCCACATCCCACATGCTCCACACTTTTTCTGGGGGATCGACGATCAATTGTGTCTGTGTGTTATTCCCCTCCTGACTCTGGGTCGCCTGCAGCGTTCAACGTCGAACGCCGCTGGGGGGTCGCCGCCGGTCCACACGAGACGAACCCGCGCCGTGGCCGGCTGGCCCAGTGCCTCGCGGCGCCCGAGGCGCCCCTGCGCCGAGGAGGGAATGCGCCCGGCCGCGGGGCCGGAACCGGCTTTAGGTCGGGCCTGTCCCCCTACAGGGGCTTCTGGACGAAAAGAAAGTTCGAACACATACTATAAAGATGCCCAAACTACTATGACAAGAGTCCCCGTACTATTTGTTTTGACTAGTTTTGAACATCCCCCCTCTAGAGGGACAGGCCCGACTTGGAATCAGCTGCAGAGTGCGTTCCACACTCTTCCACATCCCAAGAGGCCGCCAAGAGCGCCGAACAACGCCACCCCAAGAGGGCCCCAACGAGACAACGTCGACGGCCCCCCTTAGGGAGGAAACGCTAGCCCCACCCCACTCTCTGTTGGCAGACGCCCTCCAAGATGGCTGCCCTGTCGTCCACCCCGACTGATCCTCGTCGTCTCGCTTCCGGTCATGACTCAAGTCTCCAGCGCCAGCGGCCGCTCGGGACGAATTGGGTGCCCCCGAGCTCTTCTGGCGAGGCGCGGCAGCCAGAGAGCACTCCGAGGCCGGGAAAAGCCCTTCCCCCGTCCGACCCCGACCGGAGCACGCCCCCCCCCGTCCTCTATGCACTTCTGGCCCATGAGGCCCTCCGTGGTCTGGGAGCAGCGCCTGGACAGCGGCGCCGCGCACGGAACCCCCCCGCGCGCGCTCGAGTTGAAGCGGGAGCTCCCTTCGCTTCGGACTAGGTCGGGCGTGTCCTCCTGCAGGCGGATGTTGGACGGAAGAAAAAATATGGCCAAAAATAGCCAGAAATAGCAGAAAAACCGTCCCCTTGCAATTTCGCTGCTGTTTCTGAATTTTCCCCCTGTAGAAGGACACGCCCGACTTAGGCCTTGGATGGGGGCGGGGGGCAGGTGGGGACCCGGGGGAGGGCGAGGAGGGCGCGCACACGAGACTTCGGGCACGAAAGGCTTCTCCTGCTCCTCCTCTCTCTCCTCCCAGGCATAATCCTTCTCTCCCTGCTCCCACCCCCTCCTCCACGTCCCCCTTTTCCTCCCCCCCCTCCTCCTCCTCACTTTCCTCCTCCCCCTCCTCCATTTCCTCCTCCTCTTTTTCCTCCTCCTCCTCCTCCTCCTCCTCCTCCTCCTCCTCCTCCTCCTCCTCCTCCTGACGCCCCTCAACATCTGACACCCGGATCACTCCCGGGAGCGCGCTCCGACCAGAACTCCGAGGCGAAGTCGGCCGCGGTGGCCAGGAGCCCACCCCATGGAGGCCCAGCGAGGGCGACAGACGCCAACCAGCCTCGATCGTCGATCCTGGCCCGCCCCCCTCCCCCGGGCGCGCGCAGTGCCCCAGGGGGCGACGGGGGGGCCCCCCGCCGACGCGGGAAGTCCGCGCGGGGGCCTCCGAACGTTTCTGCTGCGTCTCGGTTTGCGCACCCGTCGGTTCTTCGACTCTCCCCCCCTTCGTGGGGGGGGGCAGCGATAGATGGGAGGGGGGGGGAGGAGGAGGAGGAGGAGGAGGAGGAGGGAGGAGGAGGAGAGGAGGAGGAGGAGGAGGGAGGAGGAGGAGGAGGAGGAGGAGGGAGGAGAGGAGGAGGGAGGAGGAGGAGGAGGAGGAGGAAGGAGGAGGAGGATGAGGAGGAGGAGGAGGAGGAGGGGGAGGAGGAGGAGGAGGAGGAGGAGCAGGAGGAGGAGGAGGGGGAGCAGGGGGAGCCTCGAGCTGGCACCGGCGAGGGGTCCCCGAGGGCGACGCCGCAGGCTCCCCCTGGCGGGGCGTTCTGCCAGGCCCCTCTTGTCGGCGAGGAGCGGGCAAGACGTCAGAGCCAAGCGGGGGTGGGGGTACAGTCGGACTCGACTGGACAGGACACGCGAGAATCCGCCGACCCTGTCGGCGTGTGCGAGGGGCTTGGCTGTTCGAGTCGTTGTCTTCGTCGGTCGTCGCCTCCGTCGTCCCCGTTCCCTGCAGCTTCCTTCTCAAGCTCGTGAGCGAGAGAAAAATCGAGCAGTGTCGTAATCGAGTCGAAGGGAAGCCCCTTCCCTTCGATCCCTTCCCCAGGGGGGGGGGGGGTTCCCGGGGGGGTGACGGGGGGGATCCCGGGGGGGGGGTAGGGGGGCAGATTCGTTTTTCCTCGGGCGGCCACGAAACCTCGAAAACACTCCAAATGAGGTCCGAATGCCCAACATGGCCCCCGAGACGGCCCAAGAGGGCCCCGAGTCGCCCAAAAATCGGCCGAAAACGCCCAAGATAGCCCCATGACCGTCCAAGAAGCCTCCAAGACGTCCCAGGCCCCCTCCAAGAGACCCCCAGGAAGCCCCAAGAGGCCCCCACGAGGCTTCCAAGCGGCCCCAAAGAGCTTCCCAAGAGGCCCACTAACTACCCCCATGAGGCCCCCAAGAGCGCTCGTCGTCGTCGTCGTCGTCGTCGTCGTCGTCGTCGTCGTCGTCGTCGTCGTCGTCGTCGCCATTCAGGGTCGGCGGCACCGGCCGTAAGGCCTTCGCAATACACCAGACCCTTCCGAGGGCCACACTGCCACGGGAATGTGGGAGGCGTGGGTCGCGAGACACAGGACACGAGGCTACCCTTGGTCTGGCAGGGTCGACCTGCTCATCTGGGCCGACTGTACCGTAGGGGCCCGACCGCGGGAAACTTTCCACAGGAAGCCCAGCACTGCGGCCCCAGGAGGTTTTGTTTTGTTCTTTGTTCAACCACCCCCAGTTGAAAGGTTCAAGCTGCTGTTGTTCAGAGCTCTCGAGGGCGCCCGGCGGCCACGGGAGGTCACAGGGGCTCTCGGAGGCACATCCGCATCAGCGAATTCCACGCGAAGGGCCGCATCGTGAGCCGTCTCACGAGGGCAGACGGGCGATCAGACCAGGCAGCTGAAAGCGTGCGGTGGCGACGTGAGAGCCCAGGACGTCCATGAATGTTGGCGGGAATGTCACGCTCTCCATCGCAAAAAACCATCGAGACCCAAGAAACCCATGGCACCCTGGCGGCAAGCAGGGTGTTTCTTGGCATGGGTCTCCACTGTAGGATAGACGATGCTGAACGGATGTGCTCCGTTGAATCTTTTCAAAAGCGGTCCTCAGACCACTCCCAAGGTCCATCGGAGCAGTTTCTAACCGTTCCGGAGCACCCCGAAAGCGAACCCCAGGCACCGAATACAGCGGACACAAAAGCTCGAGAGCCCCCGAGACGCCGACACACAACGCAAATGTGTTATATCCAAACTATACGTGTTCTCCCTGAAACTTCCTGTGCAGCAGATCCCCAAGGGGCCAGGCATGCGCCTAGAGTAGAGGGCAGAAAATCCATCCCGACAATAACCACCCCGACACGCGAAGCCGTTTAGTAAACGCACCCACAGAAGAAATCAAACACGGTAGGGCTGTTTAGTAAACGCCCAAGGCCGTTTAGTAAACGCCAATTGTCGGGTCCGGGTGGCTTTTCCTCCCTTGCTATACCGTCGCAAGGTTTGCTGTAGACGGGCGTCCGTGCAGGCATGCATTTGCTGCGCATCCCTTGGCCGCCGAAGCTCGAGTCGAGAACGTCCAGCGTCGAGCTTATCGCTTATCCCGACCCTTGCGACTGTAGAGCCTGAGGCGACGACCTGAGGGAATCCTTCCCGATCGCCACCGAGAGATGGCGAGGCGACTCGTAGGGATAGGGATATGTTCCAGGCGGTTGAGAATGGGGAGCCTAAAAGTACTGACACCGCTCCACCCCGGACCTCTCCTGGCGCACGTCCTGTCCAGAATTTCGAAGCGAATCCAGCGGTGGCGACGAGGGCCCCCCGGGCGGCCTAAAACGCGGAACGCGGGAAAAGGGTAGCGGCATGGGAACCTTTGTTTTCGCCGAGGCAAAAGGCCCACGATGAGTCCTGGAGAGAGAGCGAGAGAGAGAGAGAGAAAGAGAGAGAGAGAGAGCGAGAGAGAGAGAGAACAAAACAAAAACATCAAACAATAATGATTAAAAAGAAAGAACTAGAGAGAGAGAGAGAGAGAGAAACAAAAAAAAAAAGAAAAGAGAGAGAGAGAGAGAGAGAAAGAGAGAGAGCGCCATGCAAGAAGGTTCCTCGGTCTCGCCGTGCTCCCCGGGGTGCAGGGGTAACGGGGGGGTAGGGCGACCCCGAGCTCCGACCTCGTGGGGCTCTTCGACTGGACCGGCAGCCATACCCCGACGACGCACCCAGCCCTTGCGCAGCGCATGGCCACCACGGCTGCGCAGGCTTTAGAAACAATAAGGTGATGGCGTGATAACGATGTAGATTGTTCGGCGAACGCTATTTGGGAGGCGTGGAAACGGTTTATTGTCATACGTTTATGTGTGTATATATAAAAATATAGTTCCGCGAACGCTGTTTGGGAGGCTCGCGAAGCGGGCGACTCGCAGGACACGGATCGACGGACACGGGCTTGCTAAAAAGGTGATCCGTTGGGACCCTGGGTTAAAAGGGACCGAGGGGCGAGGACTACGAGGAGACGACGGGTGGGGATCCGAAACCACCCGCGAGACAGCAACACGAGGACGCTGCAACAGGAAGGGAGGACACGGCGACGAGAGAAGGGCAGAGGAAAGTGGATGACTACGTCTCGAAGCACGCCAGCACTCGGCTACAATGTGTGCAGGAACTGCGCGACGGCGAGCTGCTCTACCCGCGACCCCACGCGGATCTATGGAAGAACATGGGGTTCCGACGGCCACGCCGGCAGGCCTCGGAAGAGGCAACAGATTCGCAGATCGCAGCATCCCCAGGGAGGGCGAGGTCTAAATCTGCATCTGCGGCGAGTGCTCACTATGCTGCCCTCCCCAGCAGCCCTCGAACGCGACGACAGTTTCGCCAGATCGCAAGCCCACCAGGGATGGCGAGGTCTGATCTGCATCTACGGCGAGTGCCCACTATGCTGCCCTCCCCCCCAGCAGCCCTCGAACGTGGCGACGGTGTCGCAGGTCGAAGCCCCCCTCAGGGATGGCGAGGTCTAATCTGAATCTGCGGCGAGTACCCACTATGCTGCCCCCCCAACAGCCTTCGAAAGTTGCGACAGTTACGCAGATCGCAGCACCCAGGGATGGCGAGGTCTGCATCTACGGCGAATGCCCACAATGCTGCCCCTCCAGCGGCCCTCGAAAGTGGCGACGGTTTTGCAGATCGCAGCCCCCCTCAAGAATGGCGAGGCCTAATCTGAATCTGCGGCGAATGCCACTATACCGCCCCCCCCCAGCATCCCTCGAAAGTGGCGTCAGTTTCGCAGATCGCAGCCCCCCAGGGACGGCAAGGTCTACTCTGAATCTGCGGCGAGTGCCCACTATGCTGCCTCCCCAGCAGCCCTCGAAACTGGCGACGGTTTCGCAGATCGCAGCCCCTCCCCAGGGATGGCGAGGTCTAAATCTGCGGCGAGTACCAACTATGCTGCCCCCCCCAGCCGCCCTCGAAAGTGTTGACATTCTCGCAGATCGCAGCCCCCCAGGATGGCAGTCAATCAGCCAGTCAGTCAGTCAGTCAATCAGTCAGTCAGTCAGTCAATCAGTCAGTCAGAAACCGTGCGTAGACGGCAGATCGGTTGCAGACCACGTGCACGGGCGTATGTACAGCAGTACGCCGACGTCAGGGGTGCTGTAGAAATCTGCTCACTCGCGCCCAGCCCCGCCTAGAAGCCCGCAGGGTGGACGACCCGGGGGAAGGAGGAGGAGGAGGAGGAGGAGGAGGA